AAAGGTCTTAGGTTGTTCTTTTCTTCTTCCTTTTAATGGTGCTATCTTACCATTGATTTGGTAAGAAGCCCCACCATTGGATGTAAAGGGACAGACGCGGGTCAATTTTACAATCATTGAAGGCAACTTGTGAGACGCTTTAGCAATTTTGTAAGGGACGAGATCGTTTTAATCGAAGGCAACATCGAGGGTCATCGAGGGACTACGATCTTTGTTTATTGAAGGGTCATTTGCTAAAGTATCCCATATTCGAGGGACATGATTGTATTTCCGAGGTAACGAGCGAGGTTACCCTAGAGGTGCGCGTGTGAAAAAGTGTGTTGGTTTCAAGTTTATTTTATTCTTGGATTAGGTCATCTAGTGATTGATTTTTGAATCTTGCCATACATGCCTAGTTACTATACAGTATATGGAAAACAGTAAATTGCGGGAATTGAAATTCTACGCTATTACAAAAGTATTCGGGAATGGGGGTACAATTGTTACAAATGAGGATGAATCAAATGAAAATAGCAATGTCCAAATATTAAACAATACAACCAAATCGAATTGTTGTGCGATTTAATATAAAGCTATGACAATTTATGAAATAAAGTCAACAAAATATGAAATGAAATGTATTTACTTGAAAAGAGAAAAAATAAAACCTATTCTAAAAAAGAAATTGATTAAATTAAAATCCTCATTATTATTTTTTGTGTATTCTTATTAATTATGTAAAATCTAAAGAAAAATAAATAAACTAAGTTATTATTTTTGGTGTTTTATCATGTCAATTAAAAATTAAAGCAAAATTTAAAAAAAGAAACTAAATGATAAAAATTAATTTACAAAAAAAAACTTAAATCAATTTAATAAAATATTTTAAATTATATTAATAATTTTGTTAATAAATAAAATATAGGAAGCATAACGAATAAAAAAAGAAAGAAAGAAGTAATATGGGCTTAAGAAAATTGATTTGGGGTGAGGCCCAAACCAAAGTATGCTATTGCTGTTACCAAAACAAGCCAGGGGGGTGTAAAATACGCATGGGCTTTTAGGGGGAACAAGACAGGCCCAAGGTCTTAAGTCAGTTTAGCTGTTTGATTAGGGAGGCAAACAAAAATTAGGGTTCTGAGACCCTTTTTGCACACAGCGGCGCCGTTCATCTCTTTGGCTCACTCTGTTCATCTCCTCATCTCTATTCATCTCTAAACTCCTCTCCTCCTAGTCTCATGGCCGAAACTCCCTATTAACAACATAATCTCTCCTCATCTCACCATGATTCACGTTTTTTTTCTGGAAACCCTAAGTTCTGATTTATGCCTAAAGCGTTCGATTCTAGCTTATCTGATCTCCCCCCCTCAATTTTCTGTTGCCGGAGTGCTCTCTCTCACCTCCTAACCAAGCTCTATTTTTTTTTCTTTTGAAAAGGTGATGTTCTGTAAGTTTGAAGCTTGAACGATTTTGTTATTTGTTTTGTCTTGTTACGTTTTTCTGTTAATCAGACTTGCTATTCATTGAGATGCAGGAAATAGTTTGTAAGGAGGGTGAAGAAGCCATACCTGTTTGGGACTTTTCTGTGAAATGGAAGGGAATGGTGAGACTGAGGGTGACGCTCCTTGGTGGCCGGAGACGGGGGGAAGAAATGAAGATGAAGGCCTTAGTATTTCTGGTAACATTTTTCTGTCCTCTGCTTTGAATGATGATGATGCTGTTCGATGGGTTTTGGGATTTTTTTTTGTGATTGTTGAATGTTGTTTTATTAGCTTTTACTGGTTTTGGAATTTGGTTTTGTGATGATGGTTTTAGTTTGATGATGTTTGCTGATGATAATGATTTGATGATGTTGGTTATCTGGGATGTTTGAGGCTTGGATACTGTGTTTGAGGTTTAGAGATGGTGATTGTTAGCTTGATGGTTTTTTGGCCTTTGGTGATTTTTGTATTTTTGATTTGGTTTGATTGCAGGTTGTGTTATTGGTTTGGTTTTAACAGGTTTTGCTTACAGTTTTGGTTACAACTTTGGTTCTTGAGGATGACTGTTGTTTTGTATTGATAGTTTGACAATTTCTTTTTGGATTTGGTTACAATTTGGCTTTTGACAGGTTTGAAGGTTGATGGTTTGAAGGTGGTTCTATAAGCTTGAAGCTTGAGACTTTTTTCTGTTTTGTTTTGAATAGGTTTTGGTTATCTATTTTTGACAGGCTTTGGAGGTTTTGTGATTTGGTTCTTGCTGTTGGTTTGAGATTTGTTTCAGATTTTTGGAACTTTGAAAGTTTTGTAGACTTGAGTTTTTTTTTGAGGTTTTTGAAGTTTGATAATTTTTTGAGTTTTAAAATGGTTTTGGTCTTTTGAGGCTTTTGACAGTTTGGATGCTTGATGATGTTTTTGTTTTTTTGGTTATGGTGATGTTTTTGTTGTTTTGGATTTGTTGGTTAACATGTTTGATGAGTTTGTTACAGGTTTGTGACTTGTGTTGAGATTTGGCTTGATGATGGTTCTGGCTGTTTGAGGATGGCTTGGGATATTGGTTCAGATTTGGGTTTTGTTTGACAGTATTTTTGACTTGAGAGTTTTTTGACAGCTTTAAAAACTGGAGGTTTTTTTGAGGTTTTCTTTTATTTGCCGAGTTTGATAATTTTTTTCTCTATATGTCCCTTGCTTCAGCGCTTTGTTTACTGTTATATTCATGTGGTTTGGTTGAAATCTTATTCAAAAAGGGAGGGGGGGGGGGGGGGGGAACAAAGAAATTGAATATTTTGCTATGTTGTTCCTTTGGCTTTTTGATGGCAGTTTTGTTTTCTAGCAGCTTCTATGCAATTGTGACAGTCAAGGCAGCAGGGCTGTGCATCCCTAGGTGACTTCTTTCCTCTCTTCTCTCTCAATGACCCTAAGAGTCAATTGCTCTTTTGTCTTTTTTCTGAAAAGTTTGCAATAAAAATGGAAAATGATGAATTGGCTTATTGAACAAGCCTCTTGCTTGTTTGACTTAGTTTATCATATTGCTATTCTTCCTTTGCTTCCTGCTCTAGCTTATGCTGTTTGTTGTTTGCTTTTTGTCCAATTTTATTTGGCTCGGTTTGCTTGCATTTCTGTTTGGTGATGCGCTGCTGTTTGCAATATTTGTTTGGCTGCTGTTTGGGTATTCTATTTGTTTGGACAACTTGCTTGCATTTCTTGTTTGGACAACTTGCTTGCATTTCTTGTTTGGACAACTTGCTTGCATTTCTTATTTTTCTTTTTGTGAACCAAGAAGAATAATCTTCTTGTGATTTGCAAATAGAAAAAAATAAAAATGTGATGAATTAAAAATGGCTTTCTGATTCCAAATTGCAAACTTTAATGATGAATAGCATTCTTTCTTTTGAAAATTCTTGCTCATGCCCAAATAATTGTACTAACTATTTTTCTGTCTTTTGTTTTCATATGAGCACAACTGGATGGTGGCAAAGCAGGGGAAGCAAGAGACTCTGTGGCAAGCATGGAAGCAAAGGAAGCTCAGTCAACCTTAGGCATAGATTCATTTTCTTTGTAATTTAGAGAGAATCATTCTTGTATTATATCCAACAATTGTACTAATTTATCTTTTAAATACAATAAGTTGTAAAACCTAAAGTATTTAAATAATAAACTGTTTTGTAACAACGTTTGAAATAAATGGAGAAAGTATTATAAGATATTCTGGTGTTACTTGAAATCATTTACTGTCAATAACTTGTAATTTTTTATTCGCATCTTAACTGATTCTTAAAGATTCCCAATCAAGATAATTGAAACAAAATGCTCCAACCTGATAATTTAAATTCCAATAATTCTGTAATCTTGCAACTGCACTCCAAACAAACACGCACTGTCTATTCCCTTTCCTAAACAAGCAAATGTTTTAGAAGACGTAAATCATCTGGTTAACCTTGAGAACAAACACTGTCTTTTCAGTAAACTTGAGAAAGCATGAAAATCTGTGAAAGTCAATTGGATCTTTGAGAATTCATTTCTTTTGAGAATTTCAAGAAAAACCCTAATTGCTGGTTTACTGCCACAGAAGAAAATTTGTCTGATCGATTCCTGAGCCAATCTTGAATATCTGAGAAACCCTAGGGTTGTGTCTTCTATGAAAAATGGGAGGGCAAATTTTGGGGTACAACACTATCCTATAGGGGACATGCAATGAGAGCGAAGTTGTGATCTCAATTTCTAAATTGAGTGACTCATCAATCAACAAGAAAGAAACGAAATCGATAAAATCCTATAGGGAGCATGCACTGAGAGCGAAGTCGTGATCTCAATTTCGAAATTGAGTGACTCATCAATCGGCAAGAAAGTAAACAAACACAAGCACAACACATATATTAAATGAAGTGCGGAATGCCTGCTACAAGTCTTTAAACAGCGACTTCGAGCGCACGCTCTTTATTTCCTACTTCTTATGGTATCTAGAAAGCGGTAAAGTGAGAAATAAGGAATAAGATGAGATTGCGATGATACCGAATGGAGAAGGTCTGTTGCCTCTTCAAAGCCATGCAATTGATAAGAAAACTCTACAGAAGTTGCTCCACATGAGTGATCAAAAATTAATCACCAAACATTTCCCATCGTGAAAGTTACATCAATATAATATCACAAAATCTTAGCTAAAAAATGACAATGAAAATGATTATCGAACATGAAAATAATAGAAAACTCTAATTAAACATCTAAAGAGAATTTCTAAAACCAATAAGAATTTCTACTATTTTTGTATCTCTTTTATCTTCAAAGTTATGAGAAGAATATAATAAGAAAAAAAAACAATGAAATCTAAAACAGAGGGGTGTTGAAGTCTGGATAAGGTGCGTAGTGTAGCAAGGGTGCTGGGCCCATTAGATGAAGTCCAATGGCAGGTTTTTATTACTTCCAATTTTCCAAAAAAATGGCCACGAGCCTCCTTGAAATATGGCTCGGTCCACTTCCCTTACACCAACACCTGATTCGGCTTATTAAAAGAAACAAGTAATAGTTAAAAAAAATAAAAACTAAATGTTGAAAGGGGTTAGGGTTATAAAATATTGGAACTATCCAGCTTCATCTTGCAAACACCGTTATTCTCCGATCGATTCTTCTTCAGAACTCCGATCATCACATACTGCCGTCGTCGCATTATCATCTTCTTCATCAAGATTCCGCCATCAAATTCTTTCTCTTGATTCATTCGACTTTAGTCTCGATGCCTCCCTTATTTTGCTTCAACTTCCACTTCAAGAGCTCAAACTTCGTGATTCTTCGTGATTCTGCCCTTCACGTCTCCACCACGGTTTGTCACCATCATTTGCGATTCAAAACATTCATGATTCTATTCCGCTTCTGCGATGCTGTTGTAGCAACTCATAAGTCGTTGACGTTGCTTTCAGTGATGCAGATAGAAGAAATTTTGTTGCAGATTGTGGAGATGATTGAAGCTTGAAGGCGCATTGATGTTGTAGGTTCAGAGAGAAAGGTCAATGAATCACTGCAAGCAGGTTGTGGTACCGTTGAAGGTGCGGTTCACGATGTCGACGTTGTTGCTTGAAGTAGGAAATTTATGAGATATTGAAGATTGAGAGATCACGAACAAAGTGTACTGATGGTAGCTTGAAGATTTGACTTCGAAGCAGTATCAATAATTGAAGATGATGAAAAATGTGGTTGATGTTTGTATTTACAGTTGCAGGAAGCTGCATAAACGATGAAGTGAAGAATTGATGATGCTTTTGCAAAAAGATGAAGATTGAAATTCGTTGAAGGTTTTGTTGGTTTTTTTCGGAGAGAGAGTTTTGAGAGTTTTTTTTAGTTGGTGATGTGATTCTCTAGAGAATGAAAAATGAATCTGAAGGTGAGTTTTTTATTTCCGTTCTCTGTTATCTCTTCTGTTGTGAATCTATGAAGTTTGGTAGTTGTGTATAAAGTTGGTTAAAGGTTAGTTATGAAGTTCTGTTAGAAGTTGGTTAGAGGTTTGAGATGGTTAGAAACTGTTAGGATATTGTTAAAAATCAGTTTGGAAATTAGTTATGCAAAATGTTAGGATGACATTTAGGCTATCTATTAATGTTATAGGTTAGCAGTCAGGAAGAATAAAAATTTGGAGGTTTATAGGAATTTAACTGAAAATAGTTAGTTACAGGAAATCTGATTTTTTGTTGGTAAAAAGTTTGGTTAAAGCATGAATTTGGAAAAATGGTTAGAGGGTTAGAGGTTGTTAGAAGGTTAGTTGGAATTTGGTTAGGTGGTTAGGAAATTAGCAAAATCTGTTGACAATTGGTGAGTTAGTTATAGGAGGTTAGGAGGTTAGAAAGTTGGTTGGAATTTATTTTCTGTTTTTCGTTTTGGATAGTCCTGCTGGTTTTCTGTTACATTGCTCTGCTCGCCCTGCTCTGATTTTCTGTTTTTTGGGAGCCAATGTATGTTTTTTAGCATGATGTGATCTAGTGATTCATAGTGTCCTTTGTTAATTTTGATGCAGGCTATATATCAAGGCAACATGAGGTTTGGGATGCACAGTCATGGTGATGTAATTGGCTGCAGGTTGTACCTGATGATGCAAGCTTAACATGACCGATTATGTATTTGGTTGAGCAGAACTGGAGGCATGACATTCACTATTTGTTGGTTTTTCTTATGCAGGTTAGTTTTTTTTTGTTAAGCTGGGATTCGGTTAGAGGGGAGTTAGTTTTTGTCATAAGTTAGTTCGGGGTTTATTTTCTGTTATGACATAACACTTAGGTAATTAGTGGCTTATTTGGGAAATAGTTGGATGGAAAGTTTGAAATTCTAATGTTTGATTGAAGTAAGCAGGTTAGGATTTTGGTTTAATTGAAGTAACATTTTGAAATGTCTTATACTGGTTTTGTGAATGAATTTTGTACATGATTGTTGATAACGTCGAATTGTTGTTTTTTCAGGTTTTCAAGTATAGAATTAACGTATGGTCTAGGCATGGCACAAACATGGTTAAAGCTGGAACCTAATATAAAGGTCGCTTGAAGTTAATGAAGGTGTGAGGCAAAGTCGGAAAGAAAAGTGCAACATGAAGTTAATATCAAAGCTCGGACATGGATCATTTAAAGACGTTATGGAGATATGAAGACAAGATTAGTGGACAAAGTTTGGAAGCAGTTGAAGGTTTGTGAAGGCATGGAGAAATTTTTGACATATCATGGAGAATGATGGAGGATTGGTTTAAGACATGAAGGCTTAAGATTAGCATTAATTTAGTGTAAAAGTTTCCATGTAGCATATTCTTGAAATGGTGACGATGTTTTTAATCTTGAAGCATGGTGATGTAATGTGGTTTGGTAATGTAACCTTGTAATGGCTTAAGCATTTTGAAATGAGATTGCTCACTTGAGTTAATGAGTATGGCTTTTTCCATATCATTGTCCTTTTTAATTTTTTAATGAAAATGATAAACTCTTCAAGAATAACTCTTTCCAAATGGCATTTCTTTTATTTATCCCTTTTGAAATGGTGTGATCTTTGAATGAAGCATGAAATATGGATTCTTTTGCTTTGTAAAGAAGTTGCTTTCACTTTCATAATGAGTAATCCAAAGAAATGGCTTTGAAACTTATCTTACTTTCATGATGAATAATCCAAAGAAATGGCTTTGAACCTTCTTTTAGTCAAAATGGTGTTATCCTTGTATCTTGAATTCACCTTACGACCATGTTCTCACATTAAATCGAATATCCACGCATTCCATAATTGAATACAAATAGCCTCTAACTCAATGCTTGCACCTAGATCTCTTGAATACCCTTATTTTGAAATGAGATCCATACCCAAATCCATGTGGTCCAAATACCAATTGAATTTTCTTAGACGAAGAAAACTCACTAAACTCTTGTTTGCAATAACCATACCAATATCTCTGATAGCTTGCACCTCAAGTAATGATAAAACCCCTTTGAAATTTATTAACAAACAAATCCACGTGGAACCATTCTTCAAGCCCACACGATTAGGGAAGTAAACCCTAACTCTTTCAACCCTAAAGTAACCTGGAGGAACGACTTTGTCTTTTGATGAAAACGAGTCTCTTGATAAAGGAGGAAATTCCCAATGAAAACCAACTCTAATCCCGCAACATCCTGGATCCCATGCCACATTTTTATCGATTAATGAATGATGTGTTAGATGACCTAATAGAATTATGTACATGAGAAAAACGTAACAATGCATAAGCCAAATAGAAGTGAAAGGGTAGGACAAATTTGGGGTATTACACTCACATTTCGAATGATGGTTAAAATCCGGATCCCTTTGCATTTTCATCATCGCCCTGTGTATATACTCCATGATTATTACAAACAATATAGGGGACATAATGTCCCATTGTCTTATACCTCCTTTTGCCTGTATGATACTTGAGTAACTTCCATTTATGTTGAAGTGATAAGAGACAGTAGAGACTCCTACCATGATCCACTTCACGAACTGTCTGGGCGTTCCAACTTCCTGTAGAATGCATTCCATTGTCTTCCAATTTACCATATCGTAAGCTTTGTGGAGGTCCAACTGCATCATCAATCGGGGAGTGCCACCTTTCCTCTCATAACCTTTTAGCAACTCATATGACAAAAGGATATGGTTATGTATGTTTTTCCCTAGAACAAAAGTTGCCTGAATGGAGTTAATGGTACTAGGAAACACCTTACCTAGCCTACCAGTCATGACTTTGGCAATTATTTTATAAAAATTTGTATAATAAACAATGGGCATGTAGTCCTTTACTTGTCTAGCATTATCACCCTTCTGAATCAAGGTAACATCGGTATTATTGAAGCCTATATACAACCTTCCAGTATTGAAAAACTCTATAATAGCTTCAATTACATCCTCATTTACGATGTGCCAACAAGCTTTAAAACATTTTGCACCAAAGTCATCAATTCCTGGACTTTTAGCATCACCATTACCTTTTAGAGCTTTTTCAATTTCCTACACAATTATATTGCTTACCGGAAATTTCCTCTGCTCCATATTTAATTGATTACCACTTCTCATAGCATCCTCTATTGCTTGTTGATTCTCCAGCACAGTACCATCACTCTTCTACATCATTTTCATGCTCCTGTTGTTATATTTTGCTTTTATAGTGGCATGGAAAAGTGTTGTTTCCATCACCCTTCCTTAAACCATCTATTTTTTCTCTTTGCATTAACAACTTTTATTCCAATTCATTGATTTGTATAACTTCATCAATGAGGTGCTACACTCTCTCAATGTTATACATATCAATTCTATTAGCAATTTGATCCTCTTGAGCTCTATTCAGATCCTCTTTGGCTTTTATCAAATTCTGCTTAATATTTGACATGGGTCTACTGAACCTTCTCATATCATGTTGAAGTCTATTAAGTTTATTCGAAATTATCACCATAGGACAACCCCTAGTAGGTTTATTCCAACTGTTTCTCACCATTTCATTATATCCCTCCATATCCACTAAATAGTTTCTAAACTTGAAGTGCTTTGTAGGCTTTGTATTCTAGACTATACTGGTAACACATATTATGGCATGTTTTGAAACACTAGCAGGTATAATTTTAAAAATAGCATCCATATTTTCATGAAACAAGTCCAAATTACCCAATACCTTATAAATTCTGAAATAAACTGTTCCAATCACATGTTTGTTGGACGAAGTAAAGAAATCCCTAGTGTTGTCCATCTCTGCCAAACCAGTGTAATCCATCATGTTCTGCAAATCAATATACTCAGCCTCTGTAACCATCTTACCCCTAATTCTGTCTTGTGCCTTGACAACATTGTTGAAGTCTCCAAGAACATCTTTTCCAACTGATTAAGTGCATACACTGTAGTGAGCCAGTACTTGAAGACACCCTGCACATCATAAATCCCCACATGAATAAACTGAATAAAGCTCTTGACATGCCTTACATAAACTTTATTATTATCCAATTCTATCCATAATCTCCCATTCTCATGCCACTGGTAATTATCCACATAGTTATTTGGAAGTTTTAGCTTCTCTCTAATCTTTTTTGCATTATTTCTTTTTACTCTTGTTTCTATTAAGATGGAAATTGTAGGCCTAATTTCTAGGAGGAGGGATCTAATCTCCTTTAGCTTACCCATTTTATTTAATCCCCCTTATGTTCCAGGAAACTATCATTATTCTATGTGTTGTACCCCAAAATTTTTCCTCTCAATTCTTCAAGAAATTCCTCACAAGATTTCTACTGGGCCAAAACTGCACGAGGCTTGATCAGCTCAAGTTGCCATGGATCATATTGGATTTCCAAGCATCAGGTCAAGGAGAAAACTATTGAAAGAGCAAAGTAGATAAATTTGACTTTTCTGACAAAATTGAAGAAAAATAACTTGCTTTGATTAATGCTTAGCTTCGACTGAATTTTCTCCTCCATATTAGTTTCGACTGGATTTAGTTTCGCTTTGAAACAGTTTCCTTCGATTCAAAAGGAAATGACCTTTTTACTAGCTTCTTTCGATTCAAAATAAAATGGCTTTCTAAAAGTTTCCTTTGATGCAGAAGGCAATGTCCTTCTAAAGGTTTCCTTCGATTCACCCAGTAGGGACTTCCTGCATGCAAGCTTCATTTGGGCATTTAAATTCCTTGCATACATCCTTCGATGGAACCATTAGGCTTACATATTTTCTTGATTCACAAGTGAAATGGTTACCTGCATGCAAGCTTCAATTGGGAATTTAGTCCCCTGCATACATCCTTCGATTGTGCATTGGTCCCTGACATGTTTGTTTTGATTCATAAAAAATGGCCATCTGCATGCAGCCTTCGATTGAGCAATGACCTCTTTCTTGCATGCTTCGATCCACAAAGCTAGGGGCTCCCACCATGCTAGCGTACACACGGCAGAGGCCTCCCTATGCATTCATATTAGCACCCACAGGGTTTTGGCTATCTTCATGCTAGCTCTGACTGGGCAAAGTCTCCTTTTAAAACAACTTGATTTCGATCCATAAGGGCAACACTTATCTTTATACAAGTCTCGTTTGGACAGAAAGAGACCTCCTGCATGTAAGCTTCGATTACACCAGTGACTCCTTACAAGCTGGCTTTTGGTGCACATGGGAAAAGCCTCCTGTAGCCTCCTTCGATTCAAAGGGGAAAAGCCTCCTGTAACCTCCTTCGATTCAAAGGGGAACAACCTTCTGTAACCTCCTTCGATTCAAAGGGGAAAATCCTCCTGTAACCTCCTTCGATTCAAAGGGGAAAAACCTTTTGTTGATGTCCTTCAATTCAGAAGTTTGGTGGCTGCCTGCTGGCCTCCTTCGATTTAGAAGACAAGTGCCTTCTTTACGCTTACCCCCAATTCATAAGGCAAGGACCTTCTTCAAGACAACAGGAACAATGCAATGGCCTCCTGCAGCTATCCTTTGACTTATAAGCCAATGGTCTTGCATGTTTTCCAAATTCACAAGGCAGAAATTTCCCTTCATGCTAGCGCTCACAAAGCAAGGGACCTACTGCATATAAGCTTCGATTCCCTCTTGAAAACCTTCAACACGTATAGTCTCTACACTATGACACATCTGGGTGTTCCAATCGAAGTTTATATCTTGGTGTTCCAGCTTAAAGATTTCAAGTGATGCACACAAATGATGCATGTGGTTCCTTCAAAAGGATACATACATATTTCAAATCGAAGAACACCCATTTGGGCCCTTTCGAAAGATACACATACAGTCCATTCGAAGGACACTTTGAAAGAAACATTATTATTTGAAAAGGAGTCTGGTCGAAGGATAGGGCTAGTTGGTCAAAACAAAAGAGAAGTAGTCTAAATGCTAGTGGTATCAAGTATAAGTCAGCTGCACTGGCCACAACGTTCCAAAACTGCTACAAAGCAGTCCTGTCACGCTGCTCCCATACTTGCACCAAATTGGCATATAAAAACTGCACCTCGAAGACTATAAGAACATCATACCCAATTTGTGCAAACTTTTGTTTTACCTCCCAAACACCAGCCAAACTCATTTAGAAATAAGACCTTCCATCACACATCTTAGGGCCCCCGGGTAGTTGCAAAAATTCTTGTTGTGAGAAAATTATCAATCTCTAAACACTCTCAAACACTCTTAAACGTTCTCAAACATTCCTAAATACTCCAACTCTAAAAACTCAAATCCCTTCATACACTAAGCGAACCTTTCGATTCACTCCTCAAACTTCCAGATAACAAACCTTCGACTCATTCCTAAACTACAACATAATAGTATTTTGATTCAATC